AGCATGCCAGTTTTCACAACTCGGAGGACCACGGATGGTAATTACGGAAGTTAGGGACTATAGGTGGTGAAACCACCAAACTCGAGGGACCTTGGCTGGTATTTACTTAAAAAAATGTGCTATATAATAAAGCCATAAAACTTTGGCCAATCAGATTACGGTATTTTCCCACCCTAGCAAAAGTGACGCCGTTTTGAAAGATTTCTTTTTAAGATCATCTCTAGGTTTTATTTATGTTAAGTCATTAAGTGAGATTTTATTCCTCAAATCTTAATATACCAACATGGTATACACCTAAACTAATCATATACAATATTATTCACAAGCCCAATCTGTAGAATCCTATACACTATTATTCACAAATCCTAATGGTACAAGGTTTTAATATGTGGTGATTCTAGAGATTTTTTTAAACACTACACAAAATATAGTTTACAAATAAATTTTCAATAATTTGTAAGAGTATTGTATTTTGAATTCCATCAAGTTATTTTACTTTTAGTCACTATAGATTTAATCATTTTATATTTCTTAATTATACTATAACTATCTTTATTTTCAAAAAAAAAAAAAATTATACTATAACTATAACTATATAGCCGTACATCGCATGGGTGACATACTAGTAAATATTAAAATCTTAATTTAAACTAATAAATTCAAATAGCACTTAAGTCTTTAATTCTTCATAATTATTAGTCTAGTACTACTCTCACACTCATGCGAGACAAATGCATTTGTTTGAACCCCATTCTGTATATCCTTTTATTGCGTGTATGATCATTCCTAAAATACTAGATTATTTTTAATATATACTATAGTTGGTTTTGAACTTAAAATTTGATCAGATTTTATTTAAGGATTTTAAGGAATCTCCAAATAGTAACTACTGAAATCAAAAAGGGAAAATGATACTTTTTCCCCCTAAGTTATATATTTATAGCACTTTTTCCCCCTCAATTATTTATGTAAGCACATTAGCCCCCTCAATTATTTTAAAAGTGGTGGTTTTTCCCCCTGATATATTAAATTGACATTTCTACCCTTAAAGTAAATATTTTATTTATTTTACTTCTCCAACAAATTATTGTGTATATGTAGCAATGACCACGGTTCGGTTCGAACTGAACCGGACACTATAGCAATCGAATTAAAAGTTTCCGGTTATGATTCAGATCTAGAATCCAATATTTTGATTTCAATTTATTAAATTTATGAACCAAAAAAACTGGATCATGAACCGTGAACCGGCGGTTTCGGATCCGGTTCGTGATTTTGAACCGTCTTTATTTTAAACTTTATTTTATTTTTTTATTTTAAAATAGTCTAAATTAGACAATAAATGTATTTTATTTTTTCGGTTCGGAACATGAACCGGCCATTTCGATTTGCGATTTTAATAAAATCTAAATATCGCGTTTTGATTCTAAATTGTAATTGGAATATTTTGGTTTGGTTGCTATAATATCTGTTTGGTTTGAACCAAATTATAGTAATAATTTGTTGGAGAAGAAAAATAAATGAAATATTTATTTTAAGGGTAAATATGTCCATTTAACATTTTAGGGGGGAAAAGAGCCACTTAAATAATTCAGGGGGAAAAAGTGCTATAAGTATATAACTTAGGGGGGAAAAGTGCCATTTTCCCAATCAAAAAATTTAAACATTCTTCCAAAAAATTTAAACATGAAACTATATTTAGGAGGATGAATAACCATTTCAGACACTGCACCTATCACTTCATTCACTTGAACCCTATGTTATTGAGCATAACATGTCATACTGAATTCAGGCAAAATCGTTTTCCCATATAAAGAAATACTTCCTCAGTCTATTTTGTCTATCATGCTTACTACTGAAATACTTGCTTATTTTCTTTAGTGATTTTAATTATTTTTAAATTTGATTTTTTTTGTGTGATTAATAATACTTATAATATAGTTTTTAAATATATAAATTTTATATACTAATACTAGAATTAATAATATGAAAAATTGAATTAAAAAGAACTACAGTCGAGCCTCGTTAATCGAATCAGTCAAATAAAATGGAACGGAGGGAGTATTACTTAAATTGGTTATTCTCAAAGAATCTTTTGATAATGTTCTTAACTGCAGTATTGTTGGTTTTGTGAAGTTTTTCCTGAAAAAATGTACTAGCTGTTTGATATATTGATAGTTAAGCTTTTTTCTTTTTCTTTTTCGTGACGAGGGAATTGAAGCCTATAAGTGTCGAGAATGGTGCAGCAATTCAAGAAGAAAAGGAGGAAGGAAACTGAAAGGGTTCTTTTGTGTGTATTTGCTTTCAAACTCTCTGTCCAACTTTACAGATTGAAGAACAAGTTACAGAAGAAAGATTATGCAAGCGGGAAAAAGGAAAAGGAGTTTTTAAACTCTACAACTAAACTAACAGAAGCTGTTACAGAGTTAGTTAGGGAGGTGGATGATCTGGACTGAGTTGTGGATGAGTCAGCTTGTTGACTTGAGGATTGAAGGCTATCTGTTGACAACCCCCCGCAAGCTGGAGTGTACAAGCAATGTAGACACAGCTTGGAGATGAAGCTTGAGAAGGTAGCAGCAGCAAGAGGTTTTGCAAACACATCAGCCAGTTGATTTGCAGTAGTGACATGCATCAGCTTCAATATTTTCTTCTGTAGTTTTTCCCTCACCAAATGGCAATCTATTTCAATATGCTTCGTTCTCTCGTGGAATACTGGGTTCTCAGCTATGGCAATTGCAGATTTGCTGTCACAATATAGTGTGGCTAGGGAATCAAGCTCTACTTCCAGATCTTGCAGTAGGTAAATAAGCCATTGTATCTCACAGCCTCACAGGCTGCTGCTGCAAGTGCTCTATACTCAGCTTCAGAAGAACTTCTAGAAATGGTTTGTTGTTTCTTTGACTTCCATGATATCAAGGTGGTGTCCAGAAACATACAATAGCCAGTTACAGATCTCCTAGTGTCCGGGCATGCAGCCCAATCAGAATCACTGAATCCTTTAATCTGCAAGGATGAAGATGCTTTGAAGAAGAGCCCCTAGCCTGGAGCTGCCTTGATGTATCTTAAGACCCTGTGTGCTGCCTGCATATGTACATCAGTAGGGCAATCTAGAAATTGAGATAGCTGTTGTGTAACATAGCTTATATCTGGTCTTGTAATTGTAAGATACAAGAGCTTTCCCACAAGCCTTCTATATTGAGTAATGTCTTCAACTTTGTTCCCAGTTGTCTTGCTGAGTTTTGTTTCTGTTGCCATGGGTGTTTTAGCTGGTTTACAATCTAGAAAACCAGTGTCTTCAAGCAATTCTAGTGTGTATTTCCTTTGTGTGACAGATATGCCTTTACTGCTTCTTGCTACTTCTAGCCCCAAGAAAAACTTTAGAGGGCCTAAGTCCTTAATGTGAAAAACAGCATCCAAATGACTCTTAATTTGTTCCACCTGATTTAAGTTTGGGTTGGCAATTACCACATCATCAACATATACAAGTAAAGCCACAAAATCATTACCTTTTCCCTTTGTGAACAGAGAAGAGTCTGATACTGCTTGCTTGAAGCCCATGCTTAATAACTCTTGGGTAAGTTTGAGATTCCATTGTCTACTAGCCTGTTTCAGTCCATAGAGGGACTTGACTAGCTTGCATACTTGACCAGTTTTGGCAGAAGTGAAACCAGGAGGCAATGTCATATATACTTCTTCATTGAGTTCCCCATGAAGGAAGGCATTGTTCACATCTAGCTGATGAAGTGTCCACCCTTTAATTGCAGCCACCCCAAGTAGTACTCTGATTGTGGTTATTTTAGCCACAGGGCTGAATGTGTCTTTTTTTTTTTTTTTTTTTTTTTTTTTTTTTTTTTTTTTTTTAAGAAGTTTATTAATAAAAAGGAAGGCCAAGGCCAGTACAAGGTCCGGATGTTTGAGTGTCTAGGTAGTCTAGGTAGTCTAGGCCAGATGTTTGAGTGTAACCTTTGGCCACTAACCTAGCCTTGTGCCTCTCAATGGTTCCATCAGCTTTAAGCTTGGTCTTGAACACCCACTTGCAGCCTATAGGAACTTTAGAAGATGGGAGCTCAGTTAGAACCCATGTATTGTTGGCTTGTAGGGCAGTGATTTCTGCTTCCATGGCTTTCCTCCAACATTCTTTCTTGATGGCTTCATTATATGTTCTTGGTTCTTTGTCATCCAATATATTGACAGCAAAGGCCTTGTATGCTTGTGACAGATTGTCATAAGATAAAAATTTGGAGATGTCATGTGGAGATGTTCTCTTAATGGTGTTCTGACAAGTATAATCATTAAGATAGGAGGGTTTGGCTCTTACCCTTGTTGATCTCCTTGGTTCTGGGGTTGGTGTTGATTCTGCACTGCCAGGTTCATTGCCCTGGACCGGAATTGTTGGTGGAATCTCAGTTAACTCATATGAGCTAGGTGAACCTTCAAGAACATCAGCAGGTGGACTGGTGACTTCATCAGAGTTGAAATGTGCAACACCCTCAGAGGGTAGAATCAAGTTAGGGGACTGCCCATCTTGTGAATTCTGAAAGGGGAATATATTTTCATAAAAAGAAACATCCCTAGACAGGAAGACTTAATCTCAAGGCTCTTGCTACAGATAAGATGTGCCCATGTTTCCTTTTCGCAATACTGTTCTGCTGAGGGGTATAGACACATGATGTTTGATGAATAATTCCCTTTTTCTGGTAGAATTCTTCCATTAAGAACTCCTTTCCATGATCAGACCTCACACACTTGATATTCTTCCCAAACTGAGTGCTGATAAGTTCATAGAAACACTGCATAATCTGTCTTACTTCATTCTTCCTTCTCATGAGATACACCCAAGTAGCTCTACTGTGGTCATCTACCAAAGTTAGAAAATATTGATGTCCATAGATAGTTGGAACATGGTATGGTCCCCATATATCAACATGAATCATATCAAAACAATGATTTGAAATAGAAGAACTAGGTAGGAAAGGTAATCTTCTTTGCTTAGCCAAATGGCAACTTTCACAAACAGTAGGCTTATCATTACAAATTTTGTTGTCTATTGTTTGTAGAAACTTTATTTTTCCTTCAGAAGCATGCCCTAACCTAGCATGCCAGAAGTTACAAGTATTAACTACAGGCAAGACAGCAGGTTTACATTGAGAAAAAACAGGAAAAACAAGGTGGTAGAGCCCCTTCTCCAGCTTAGTCATACCAATCATCTTCCCATGGTGTTGATCCTGTATAATACACTGGTTAGTATGGAAGAGTGTGCTACAACTGGATCCCCTCATCAGTTCTCCCAGGGAGATCAGATTATAATGGAAGATTGGAACACATAATACATTCTGCAGGACCAAATCAGAAGATAAGTGTACAGTCCCAATATGTGACACTTCTACCTGATGTCCATTTGGTAGATCCACAAAAATCCCTTGTACTTTCTTGGACATATGTAGTAAATGTATGCTACATACAATATGGTGTGTAGCACCATTGTCAATGATCCACAATGATTCAGATTTAGTTAGACTGTTGTGGGTGTTACCTTCATGTTGGGCATTTGGAATGAAGTTGGCTGCTATGTTATTGGCCTGTGGAGCATGATCAAGAGGGGTATTGACCCTGGCTCTCTCTTGTTGTTGCATAAACTCCAGAAACCTTCTGCAGTCCTCTTGAGTAAATGAGGAGTTAGCTTCTAAACTTCCAGTTTCTTGCACAGAACCCTGGATTTGTTTAGCTGATCCAAAACCTTTGTTTCTTGGCTTCCAACCTGGGGGATAGCCATTCTTCTTGTAACACTTGTCAATAGTATGTCCTGTATAACCACAATAACTACATACAGGTTTCTGCTTCTGATTAGAGAATGGTCTTCTATTGTTATTATCTGCCTTTGTAAAAAAAAATTTTGCCCCTGTAATACTATCTTCCAGAGTACTAGATTCAACACACACTTGCCTCTCTTGCTGTGAAATCATGGAGAAGGCTTCACTGATATCTGGGAGGGGTTTCATCAGCATGATCTGATGCTTGGTGTTAATGTAGCTATCATTCAAGCCAGTTAGAAAAGCAGATAACATATCATTCTCTAGGTGCCCCTTCACTTTTTCAGATAATCTGTTTCCACATTCACATCCAGTGGAACACTCACAGCTAGGGATGGGTCTCAAAACAAGGAGTTCATCCCACAACAACTTCAATTGTGTAAAATACTCATTTATGGTGGAGTTACCTTGCTTCGTATGGTAGATTTGTGACTGAATTTCAGCAACTCTGAACACATCCTGTTGACTGAAGCGTTTTTTCAGATCCTTCCATACACCTTCAGCGGTATTAATCCAAAGGACACTCCGAGCTATAGTAGGTGAGACAGCCCTAAATATCCACGAAAGGACCATTGTGTTGCAGCGCTCCCAGTAATAATACCTTGGATCAAGCTTGCTTGGAACAGCCACAAGCCCTCTCACAAAACTCATCTTGTTTTTGGACATTAGTGCCATCTCCATGGCTCTTGACCAAGAATGATAGTTGGACCTTCCTTCCAACTGTACTGTCACGAGCTGTAGGGTTGGGCTCTCATTCGGATGAAGGTGAAGAGGATTCGTCATATCATTCGGATCGAAGTTTCCGATCGGAGTCGCAGTGGGAATTGGGATGGGATTTGGGTGATTTTGGTTTGCACCAAATGAACCAGCTTGGTTCTGGTTTCCTCCTGCTTGATTTGAAGCTGCTTGCAAGACCATGTTCGCAATTGGTGGACGCCACGCCATTAGTGCTCTGATACCATGTCGAGAATGGTGCAGCAATTCAAGAAGAAAAGGAGGAAGGAAACTGAAAGGGTTCTTTTGTGTGTATTTGCTTTCAAACTCTCTGTCCAACTTTACAGATTGAAGAACAAGTTACAGAAGAAAGATTATGCAAGCGGGAAAAAGGAAAAGGAGTTTTTAAACTCTACAACTAAACTAACAGAAGCTGTTACAGAGTTAGTTAGGGAGGTTGGATGATCTGGACTGAGTTGTGGATGAGTCAGCTTGTTGACTTGAGGATTGAAGGCTATCTGTTGACAATAAGCTACAACCACTATTTTGAAGGTGTGCAGGGATAAACTTTGTTCTTGGGTAATAGCTTGCAAACTAGGTAATAAAAGAGATAAAAGTGAAGTTCTTTAGTTTTTAGTTTTATATATGAACGTGGATTTAGAAATGACAAGCTTTTTAACCTAATTGTTGAGATCAAATATACCCATTCATCTAATTCATAAGTTCAGTCTGTCCAAGATAAAACTATATCATTCATGAAGGTTCAAACTCGAAAATAACTTCTTTTTTCTTTTTTCTTTTTTTTTTTTTTTTTTTCTAAAAAAGGATAACTTAGCAAGATTGGTCCAATCAAATCAATGGTCAACAAGCTAATAAGTTATATCCTCCAGTCTGTATAACATCTAAAAAAACTATGAACAAATTAAACTTGATCAAACACTACCGAAATGCTTTAACTCTATACATGTACATATATAAATATAATACTCTAAACATATTGGAGTTACGTTCATATAATTTAGTTCAAAAAGCTAAGATTGTATGTAGCTAGGAATCTAGGATAGATGAACAAAATCGATCTTCAAATACTATATAGTACAGTACACATAAAAAAGTGTAATTAAGACTTAATCTTGGTAGGTTTGCAATCTTTGAAGGATAATAGCTTTTAGGGCTTCCTCCTGTGATCCACCAGAAACCCTAATCACAACATCTTGAAGCATTAACTCTGCCACGCACGACACGGTGGCGTGATGGATTCCGAGCTCCAGCTCTCTCAGCACATTCATCAATCTCGCCGCCGGGAAGTTCACGTCCGGTGACTGGACTCTAATTATGGCCTCCTCCCCTATGATCTTCACTTCAACTTCTATCCCGGCAAATGGATCAACGGTTAGTGATGGCGGCGAGGTTGTTCCTTCTTGAATGATCATGGTGGTCGTCTCCCTTCTTATCCGCTTCCTCGGGTTGGGATTCTCTGCTCGCGATCCCACCTTAGCTTCCAGGTCGTCGATCTTGGCCTTGAGCTCGTTGATGTACGCGACGGCGTCCGCCAGCAACGACGCTTTGTCCATCTTTGAGACGTTGGGGACGGCGCTGCGTAGGGCGTAGAATCGGTGGTTCAGCTTCTCCCGCCGCTGTCTCTCCGAGGCGACGTGGTTTCGCGTCATTTGATCACGCCCGGACGACGATGATGTTGTTTTCCGCCGCCGTCCGAGGTTTCCGCCGCAGGTTGTCGGCTGAATGTCGAGAAAATCTGAGTTGGAAGAGTCCGGCGACTGGTTAGTCACCGGCAAGGAAACGGCGGCGTTGAAGGTGAATAGCGACTGGAAATGCCGCAAAAGTTCTCCGTCTTGTTGAATAATCTCGGTGGATCCCAATTCAACAACCCCGTACGAGGTTGAGAAGAACACCAACGTTTTAATCCCATGCATGTACGCTTCCTTAACTCTCCCGCAATCGTAAAACCCAACGCCGAAATCATCACCCGACAGCCAAGCGTAAGACCCGGAGTCAAACGTTCGGATGAGGAGATCCTCCGCCGCTACGAAACATTTGGCCACTGACGACAGGTAAAACCATTCGCCGTTACCGTCCACATTCCGATCAGTATCAGCGCCTTTCCCGCCGCGAAAATGGCCGTCGCCCCATGAAAGGACGACGCCATCGCCGCCGCTGCCGCCTTTCGTGGCTTGCCAGAAAATGGCGTAGAGCCACAACTCCGGCGACCCGTTATCGACGATGAACTGGAGGCGGTTTCGGAGAGTGGAAGCTGGTAGTGAAGAAGACATGATCGATTTTCAGTTCTAAGTATGAAAAAAATATTATAGACTTCAATGTTAGATTTTAGAAGGGATTGGAGAGGAAGTTATATGCATATATAGATTTTCAATTCGTCTGCTATAATATGTATGGTCATGATTCATGAACATATATATATATATATGAACAAATTAAAGTGTGAAGTACGAACATCGTTTTCACGTGCTCTTTTAGACGCTATTAATAGAAAGAGGAATAAAAGAAACTCCAGAATTGTTAATGGGGCCCTTTAAGTTACAATTATTGACCGAAACATGCACCGAATTGAAGCGTGGACGGCGAAAACAGAAAAGGACATGCAGTAGTATGTACCAATGTTCTTCAGGTTCGATACGTACAACGTTGGCAGGTTCTTGTCATCGCAGACAGACATCTCCCGGACTCCACACCCACCGTCATGTAATCCTACGTCTCAAATTTGTTAACCTTAGAGCATCCTTAATAGCCAAATTTTCACTTAAAAGAGAGAAAGAGGGGAAAAAAAGTTTTTAAAATTAAAAATCAAGAAAATGAGTTTTCACTTTTCAGATGAAAAAAGGGAAACAACTATGTATTGCACGTGCCCGACTGGGGGCTGTTGTCTCCCCGCAGTTAATGTGCACACAGAGGAGGGAGAAGTTCTTTTATTTTTGAGAGGGTCCCACTTTACAGTGAAAAACCTAGTGATAGCAATGGGGCGGGGTGGGGGCTAGGAGTATACTCCCCGTTCCCCTTCCCGCGGGGAATTGAAAAAAATTTACGTCTCCGTCCCTGCGGGGAATTTGACCGGGACGGGAATCGCTATCCCGGTCAACCCATAGTTAATATGTCAAACTAATACAATTTTTAAAAATTAAAAAAAAAAAAAACAAAAACAAAAACAAAAAAATTTGAAATCCATAAGTACTGGTCAGTGTTCAGGTTAGTGTGTTTCTAAGTTTTAATTTTAAAATGTAATAAAACTAATTAACTAATAATCTGTATTCAAACAAAAAAAAAACTAATAATCTGTTATAAAAAAAAAAAAACTAATAATCAATAATATTCTAATTCTTTATTCTTAATTCCTAATATATATATATATATATATATATATATAAATAATTTCGGGGACGGGGCAGGGAGGGGTATCCCCGTCACCGTCACCGTCCCCGTCCCCTACGGGAATGGGGATCCTCAACGGGGACGGGCACATTGCCATCCCTAGAAAAACCAGGTTCTTAGAGCATCTCCAACCGACTCAATACCAAAACACTAACAGCACGTTTAGTTCACAGAATGAATTTTGAGGTAATAGGAATGTTATTCCATACGGAATGGAATAGGCAAGGAATAGAATAGGAATTGTATTCTTTTGTTTGGTTCGTGGAAGGAATAGACTTTAGGAATTATATTACAGTGTTTGGTTGATTTAAGGAATAGAAATGAAATATGTTTTAAAATACATAAATACCCTTATAAAAATATGTGATGGTGGTGATGGTGATGATGGTGGTGGTGGTGGTGGCGGTGGCAGTGGTAGGGGCGACGGTGGTGGTGGTGACGGTGACGGTTGTGGCATGGTGGTGGGGGCGGCGACAGTTGTGGCGGTGGTGGCGGTGGTGCTGCTGGGTGGTGGTTCTGGTGGTGGCGGCGGCGGCGGAGGCGATGGTGGTGGCGGTGGTGGTGGTGCTGGGGTGGTAGTGGTAGTGGTGGCGGTGGCAGTGGTGGGGGCGGCGACGGTTGTAGCGATGGTGGTGGTGGTGGCGGCGGCGGCGGCGATGGTAGCGGCGGCGACGACGACAACGTTGGTGAAATAGGATAAAAAAAATTAGGTTAAAGAAAGGGGTAAAAAAGAAAATAGATTCTAAAATCTATTCCTGAGCGTTCAGTAATAAGCTAATACCGGGGGGGGGGGGGGGGGGGGGGGCTAGTAATAGCTATTACCTTATTTGAGGTAATAGGCTATTACCAGGAATACTATTCCTGGTAATAGAGATGGTTACCAAACAAAGGAATAGGCCTATTACTGGGAATGCTATGCCATTCCCGGCCTATTCCGTGAACCAAACGGGCCATAAATTTCTCCACCAAATATCACATAAAAAAGAATATTCTCAGCATATTCTCACACCAAATTTTATGCATCCCCAACCCCTTTTACACCAAAACACCAAATTTCTAGACTAAAATAATTTGATTTTTCAATTATTAGTTCGAATTTAATTAGTTTAATATAATTTAGTTCAAACTTAATTAGTTTAATATAAAATATAGGGAAAATGACACTTTTTCCCCCTGAGTTATATACTTATAGCACTTTTTTCCCCTCAATTATTTAGGTAAGCACATTAGCCCCCTCAATTATTTTAAAAGTGGTGCTTTTTCCCCCCTGATATATTAAATTGACATTTCTATCCTTAAAGAAAACATTTTATTTATTTTACTTCTCCAACAAATTATTGCGTATACGTAGGGATGACCACGGTTCGGTTTGAACTGAACCCGACACTAAAGCAATCGAATTAAAAGTTTCCGGTTATGATTCAGATTTAAAACCCAATATTTAGATGTCAATTTATTAAAATTATGTATAAAAAATTTGAATCTTGAACCGTAAACCGGCGGTTCCGGATCCGGTTCGCGATTTTGAACTGTCTTTATTTTAAAATTTTAATTTTTATTTTAAAATAGTCTAAATTCAATAATAAATGTATTTTTTTCAGTTCGGAACATGAACCGTCCGTTCCGGTTCACGATTTTAATAAACTCTAAATATCGGGTTTCGATTCTAAATTGTAATTGGAATATTTCGGTTTGGTTGCTTTAGTGTTTGTTTGGTTTGAACCAAATTATGATAATAATTTGTTATAGAAAAAAAATAAATGAAATATTTATTTTAAGGGTAAATATGTCCATTTAACATTTCAGGGGGAAAAATAGCCACTTCAATAATTCAGGGAGAAAAAATGCTATAGGTATATAACTCAGGGGGAAAAAGTGCTATTTTCCCTAAAATATAACTTGTGATGTAAATAATAATTTTATTAACATTAATTTTTATAACATTAATTATTTAAAGAATCAAATTTAACAATATTTTTAAAAATTTAATTTATTCCAAAATAATAATATAGCATAAAACATAGTACATTTAATTATCATAAATTATTAATTTTATTTTATTTTTTTAAAATTGTGTTGTATTTTCTAATATTAATATTATGTCGTATATATTTTAATTTTTGTTATGTTCTAGTTATGTTTGATGTATTTGAAATTTTAATTAATATATATTCAATATTAGTCTTGTTTCAATCGTCTCAATGAGATCTTTAAAATGGTATAATTTATATTTAATAATATAAACTTTAAATATAAGTATTTAGCAAAATAATAAAATTTTATATAAACAAATAAATGATAATTTAGAATTATAAAAAGAAGCAAGAGCAAAATGGTACAATTTTTTTCCATCTCTAATTTGCCGTGGATGAATAACGCCGCGCCATAACGCTAAAATATTTGGCGATTTATCAATTTGCTGCGCTACTTTGGAGCTCAAAAAAATGGTGAGATGGTGGGATGGTATTCAATTTTGCCATTTTGCAGCCCCCTTGGAGATGCTCTTAAGTAGAGACCTCTCATCTTCTCTCGCTCCTTATTCTCTCATTCACATACGCAAATCCACCTGCAAAAATCAATGAAAATTTCCCTATTGAAATGCTCTTAGAGACATAGACATTTTACCAGAAACGGTGTACACAAATTAAACTAATCAAATTTATTTTAGGAGTAATGCTATTCACCATTTCAAAAATTTTCTCTCCATAATTAGATAACATTTTTTAATTGAATAATTAACTTTCTTTTTAATTAATGGTGATGTCACTCACACTACTGGAAATTATGGAATTTCCGATCACCAGAAAATAATCTTAAATTAAGTTGATACCAACAAGTCCAAAAAGTGGTCGGAAATAGCAACAAAGGTTTTTCCGGATACCAAAAGTGGTCGGAACAAGACTTTTGACTTGATTTAAGATCACTTTTCAGGTGGTCGGAAATTTCATAATTTCCAGTAGTGTCAAGTCATGAGAACCAATAATTTTAAGTTACATCATGGGAAAAATATTAAGAAAAAAAATTGGAAGGGAAAATATCATTTTCCTTATTTTAATGAATATTCACGTTCAGTTTGATTTTGAATGACAAATTGGCATAAATTTGAACGTTTTAAGTACTTCACTTCAGCAACTCATAAGTCTACTCAATTATATGGTAGGAAAAATGAAAGTCAAAAAAATTATGTGGCTCTCATTATTCCTCAATAATTATTCTTGGATTTATTTTCACTAGTTATTGGTGAGTGGTCAGGATATGTTGTTATAGCATATAGTTTTACAAATAGAAGCGAATTTTGTGCTGATAATAGTAAAGACGATATACCGTCATGATAAGAAGATAGGGCGTGTGCTCGCAGCATTCCGGGGATGTGCATTTGTGCTCCAAGCTAATGCCTATTGTTGTTAGTGTCGGACCGTCAAGGCGATTGGTCTCCTCCATCTCAAACAATTATGTGAGTTGGATCATAGAATCTAGAGCTAAGTATTACTCCGTATAAATCAATGCTTTAATGTGTATGTGTGTGATTTTTCATTTTTGTTGGTTGCGCATTTGTTATGTAAAAACACATTTCCTATAAATTTGCAGAATGGGATATAAATGATTAATCTTGATTAGAAACATATCATGTTATTGTGTTTACCCGTATAGATGCATTTCTTAGGCTTAAAGCTTTAAAATTAATAATAATAAATAATGTGGCTTTCTTCACAATTTGAGGATTAAAATTATTTATATATATGATTAGCCTTTTAAGAGGTGCAAGATAGAATATACATGTATAAACGTAAGCTATTTTAAAATAACCTGATCACTATAAGAATTGTGGGAGTCATGTGGCTAGTGTTGGTAATCAATAAGCTCTTGAGACATAATTGTCAATTTATTGTGAGAGTCAGTTATGATGTGTCTATTAAATCATACATTAAATTTATTTAT